GGAGATCTGACACCAGTCAGCTGCGCACAATTTCAAGATCATTTGCGATTTATAAATGTCACACCTGGAAGAGAGGCTTATGCACTTGTTTTTGTGAGCACGTTCATTTTCTCTGAATCGCACTTAGGCACTTTTGAGAAATGATCTTAGAACAAATTTAGGACTGTTTATACGCAACATTTTATAAATGAGGCCCGTGATGCTCACTGCGTGAGATGCTGATAAAAATCACACACAAAACCTTTGCAATGATACCATAGTTCATCGTAGCATTACACTTGATAATGGTCATAATACAGATGTAGAAATTGTCTTGACTTTTTAAATTCAGGTAATAACATTGGACATTTTAATTTTATTTTGACTGCTGAAATAGAAATGCCCCCAGTTTTAATTTCAGATCACCTTAATTTACCATAGGTAACATTGTTACCTATGCATACCTTGTATGCAGTGATACAAGTTACCAGAGTGTTATCAGAGAGGTAACAGTAATAAAATGTGACATTAAGTCTCAAGTATGTAAGCACACTATTATTGTGTAATGAAAATGTAAATGCTGAAGAGGACAACTGGATGAATATGCCACATGAGGTTGTGCTGCAGGGTGCAATAGGGCGATCTGAATCTGAATCACTGACTAAATTGGATTTCATGCTTGTCCCTCTTCACAAAGCTCCACTGGAGATTGCATCACTCAATGTGGCAAGATTAAATATGCATCAGATCAAAACAATTACAGGTTTTTCTGGTTGAAGGAGGCCTCTCCGATTTAGACGGCTAACCTTCACTCGCCTTTTCCAATCTCAGCTGCGGTAAACAAGATGGGTCGACAGGGAAAAGTGGAGAGAGGCCCTATTAAATTAATCAGGCAGGCAAACACTTGGCTCATTTTGGATAGATAAAAAGGATTATAAATAGAAAGATGCAGTGCACTGCTGATGTTGAATCCTGCCCAAGTGTGAGCACATGGCCTGTGTGGAAGGGTGAAACTGGCAGGGGCAAGAATGGCCAATCTTCATGCTGGCCTGTTCACTGTGGCATCGCTTTCAGGTCACCAGTCTCAGCCTCCACATGTGTAAACAGCAAACGATAAGAGCTGCGTTGCGCTGTGAGCCTTTACACTCTCTGGAAAAGTGTGCGAAATGGAAGAAAGGGGACACTTTCCAGCTCTGGAAATGACAAATATTTTCCACAAAGTCATTTTCTGCAAACCAACAGCATCACAGGCACTTCATCACCCTGAAACGTGTTTATATGTCTCATGTAGACATCACAGCTACACTCTTCCTGGCCAAGAATAGAAGCAGGACTTACAGCTGACTGAGACATTTGGCAAATCACTATACAGGACTCGTGCAGAAAGATTTTTTTTTAACCCAGCTTCATTGGAAAAAACGTGCCTGTGGACATTTCTGCAAAATGATATTATAGCTGCTTCTTGCACGTTTAGTGACACGATTAAAGTGGAAAATGTCCAGTGAGTGGAGTTAAAAGCAATTTGGAAATGAAATGACTGTTGTGTGGTGCTAAAAGGTTAATGCTATACTGTATCTGAAAAAAATGTTCCACCTAAACCCTACCGATAAGTAATCATAAGATCAATACACATTTCCTGAAACATCCATGCCAGTTTATCTTGCTTCTACAAAGCCTTTAAGCTTTTTTTTTTATTGTGATCCATGTCATATTTTATGGGACTCATACCCAAGCATTACACATTACAAGTGCAATGCTGTACCAGGTGAGCTACTAAGCAAGCTTGTCAGAAAAGTATATGGAGGTGTGCCAAAATATGTTAGAATTCAATTTGACCCTTTGCAGGGAATTTGTTTGAAAGGCCATGTGACCAATCATGATGCCATTTTTGTCCAACAAACAAACCAGTCAGGAGAGAAGATTAATGTCGGTGGGCTTAACTTGAAAAATGGTGTGTATAGCGGTTGAAGCAGGATACCTTCTGATGTTTATTCATGTTTATTTCATACTACAGTAAAGAGGAAGAGATGATCGGTTCACTGCCGTTTGAACTAAGGCACTACAACATTAAAAAGTCACAAAATGGTAACTATTGTTTGAATTTCATAAAAAATTACCCAATTTGAAAGCTGAGACTTTGTTTCATACCAAAAGTTACCTGCTCTGTCTTGTCTGTTGACAGATTGTCAGTTTCCACTTTGCTCCGCAGTGTATTTTTCACAGCGTGAGAACGTGATGTGTGGCGTGAGAGCACCATGACTTGTCGAATGTAGCAACAGTAATGAAGGGGGGCGGGGCTTTGCGAAGGGTCAGTTATGCACTATGATAAAAGTGTTTTCAGATCATAACATAGTATTGTTCTATATATTGTTCAACTACTGTTCTGTAGGAACCAAACAAAAATTCGTCTTTATTAATGTTTTACCCTGTGATCATAATTTATATAAACAGGAAAACATTTTTGGTGTTTTACTGCCGCTAGTATTAATTTCAGCTGGAACCTGCTGTGATCTATGTATATGTAAGTTTTTGGAGTTTTGCAAAACCCTGTTTTTCAGTCTGTATTTCCTCTTTGTAGCAAAATGTACATACATTTTGACAGAGGTTAAAAGCTAAAGCTCACAGTTTCAGCTGGTTGATAGTTTAATCTGACCTGTTAGCCAGCTGTACCGATCTGATAAGAGAACTAAAACAAGGCCAGAGAATCTAAATATAGACCCTGCCTTTCACAGTATTATTAGGCTTGACCTACGAATGACTGGGTCTTTTTGTAAACATTCTTTTGGGCTGCTGCCCTTCAAAAATACGCAACCATAACCATTCATAACCCTCATGGGGTTGTTCGTAGGAAAATAATGTGTTGACAGTTCCAAAAGCAATTCACATTTTGTAGTATTTGCGTACATGTTGTATTTTTAAGATTACATTAGGGAACATCCTGAAAACGTCTGTATCGGGAACTCTGCTTGAAGGTAAATAATCAGCATGTTGTTTTTGGACATTACAATTCTTTCCTTACACCCCGGAGGAATGAGCAACCCTGGATGTGATATTATGATTCTATGCTTTAATAGCAGAATACTCATGAAAGAGATGCTGAGAGAATCCACTGTTCATCTGTTGCCTGTGAATGATGTCCTCGTGGCAAGATTTAGCAGAAACATGACTAGAAGAGCATGAGGCAATGTGACAAGCTTACCGATATGTTAAAAGAGCACCTGAGGCTGGGAACATGAGCAGAACGTAATAGTGCCTGCTATACATTCGATGCCAAACAGGCTTCGTTTACAGTCGTAGCAGGAAGGCTGCTGTTTGGCGTCACTCAGCGGCGTGGCTATTTTTGGCGCACAATGTCTATATATAGCATACTTGTAAGGTCATCTGGGTCACGTTCGCCAGTGTCATCTCAACATAAACAGGAGATGGCTGGCTAAAAGGGATTGTGGGTAATATTTCCTGTCTCACTAAATGTGAAACTGTTTCAGCCTGGTTATTATCCCAGGGGATGGGATGATTATTCTCCATCTCTAAGGCCTGAAGATGGCCTGAAAAAACATGAATGAGGTTAAGCTCTCTCTTGCTTTCTCAATGTCAGTCTATTTTCTTCTCTATTAATATGAGTGACCAAACAGAGCCTGTTTATTACATTTGAACTAAATCAATCATACGCCTGAGGGAAAAAAATATGTAATTATCATTCCAAACATTTTAATTGCCCTTCTCTATTAATATGAGTGACCAAACAGAGCCTGTTTATTACATTTGAACTAAATCAATCATACGCCAGAGGGAAAAAAATATGTAATTATCATTCCAAACATTTTAATTGCCACTACTGTATTGTGAGTGTACTGTACTGTAATGGCACTGTACTGTGTCTATCTACTTGATTGTAAACAAGACATTCTAATTACAGTAGATTGCATTCAAATAAATAACAGAAATATAAAGAAAATTATTTCTGAAGGTCTCATAAAGTTAATTAACTTTGTTTACCTCAGTGTATACGAGTGATCAAACAGAGCTTGTTTTCAGATTTATTTCTTTATTTCAGTTCATTGATCACACAACTCAGAGAGGAAAGAAAATTAATTAACTGATTTATTTATTGATCCCACTAATTATTATAAACTACTGTACGAATGCAATAAAGATAGTAACTACATAGCTTAAAAACAAATAAATAACATGTAGAGAGAAGTTTTGAATTCTTCACAGTGGTACTAATCTATATATATACTGTATATATATAGTGTCTAATATGTTACTGTTCACTAAAACCAAAATCGTATGGCATCAAAAGTTAGCAAACTAGACTTTAAACAGAGAAATCCCTCAGAGTTGATGCTACTTTCAAAACTGTAGTGACCAAATGACCGAATGATCTAAAAACTCTCAGAAGTTAGAGAGAGACTTTAAGTGGCACTCGTTCCTGGCAGCCTTTGTTTGGTGGTGTTGAATTCTGGTAGGACAGTCTCACAAATATAACAATCAGTATGACACCTGTAAACAAGAACATAAAATGTGATTGCAGGAACTGCAAATTGTATTATCCTCTTCCGTTTCCAATCATTTCAGGATGTTCTGAATGAGCTGTGTACACGTCTCACCTATAACTCCCAGAGTTCCGAGCAGGATGCCCACTGTTGACTGAATAGTGGGCATGCCCTGAAGCTGTTTTGGTGCTGTTCTACAGTTCCCTCTCACATTGCATGGGCAAACCGTCACTGTGAGAGAAAAAACGACCATTGAGCTCTTTTTAAATGCATTAGAGGGGCAAGGAAAATAGGACATATTTATGGAACACTAGGTGAGGGTGATTGCATTGGTGAGGTCTTGTGGGAAACTAGCATGAGTGTCAGACACAGGGAAAGAGAGAGGAGCCATGCACCTGTGGCCATGCCATGCATCACTGGAGACTGTGTGAACAGGATGTTTCAAGAGAGAATCTATTAAACCAATGAATGTGAATGCATGACCAAGCAGACACAAAAACACACAGCATTGGTTCTCAACCTTTTTGACTCAAAGGCCCCCATATTTGCAAAGATAATTATGTCTGCTGTAATTACAACAACACTGCTTGATATATTAAATTAAACATGATTCACTATATATATGATTTTAGATTATATCTTGTTTTTTTTAGCATTTTAATTAAGTTTTATTTGTTAATATAATTATTAATTAATAATAAATTAATTTTAAATCATCCTGTGGCCCCCTTGAGAACCCCTTGTTGTCAAATAATGTACATACACATACAGTATGCTCAACATAAAAACGATCTGTTTTTATTCAATTAAAAAATGTTATTTAATATGAATGAATCATATTTAAATGTTCTTTTCAAGACCAATATTTTTTTAATTAACCTGTATGCATGTTTTATTTATTTTTAAATGAATTAAACTTCAACTGCATTAATCCACTTTTTACAATGTACCTTCCAGAGAATATGCAAAAGGCAAAATCTAAATAAACATTGATTTAACATGAAAAAAAAAATCTCACCTATTCTCACAACCTCACATCAGTAAGCGGTATGAGAAAACAAGGCTCCATCATTATAGATACTGACTACATTAGTGCTAAATTGTTTCACAAATGTCCTCCGGCTGAACAGTCAGTAAGCTTATTTGTACATTGTTAATAATGTGAATGACGTGACTCTGCTTGCTTTATCATGGAAATGTGGCTTAATTGCGTTCTTTATGTGTTGGGGGAACATTGTGAGAGATCTAAATTAAAAAATGTCATTTGTGACCTCCAGTGAACATTACAGTCTCCAGTGAGTCCATTTAACATTGTGTTCAGACAGCTAGTGAATGCAATGTATGAATGTAATGAAATGACGTACATGGTTTCGTTCTTTACGTAAACATGCTCTCTTTTCATTCATTCAGTTCTATGTTAGTCCGTCTATGTTACCTGGCAGATTGATGAACGTGCTTCTGGGTGGAGAGCTGCTGTCTGAGATGGTAAATGATACGATGTAAACCTCTGGAGGCAGGTATGGGACATTCAAAGACAGGTTGGTGTGGGTGTCTGTGGAAAAAAATGAAATCCCAGCTTACATTTCCATGAAAGATTAGTCATAAAGAACAATGTTATTGCTCTGTCGGCTTGACAATATAAATATTAGCAATGCACTAAAATATGCTATCATCAAGTTAGTATCCCTAGCTAGCAACATGATAATAATGTGCTAAAACAGGTTAGCAACATGTTAAAATGCTAGCAATGTGCTAAAACAGCTAAACAATGTGCTATAACATTCTAGTAATGTGTTAAAATCTGTTAGTAACATACTAAGACAATGCTAGCAGCATGCTAAATCTTGCATTCAATGCCAACTAGCTAGCTGTATAACATCTATATAACCATCAAACTTAAAACTTTATTTTAAACCAAGCCAGCATCAAAGTTTGTCCATACAAACATTATTTTCTCTAGTTATTGATACGAGTTATAATATTTACCCTTGACATTAACAGAAATACAGTAATTAGGTGACAAAACATTAAACTAAGTCAAGCAGTCGAGTGTAATGCTGCTGAGTAAATCTTATGGGAAAACTCCTCACTCTGCCCAATCGGGATTTGGCCGTGTGACGCAAAAGCAAGAACTCAGTCCAGTAAACAAGGGGCTGTTATCAGTCTCTGCTCACTCTTATCAATGGTCCAAGAAGCCCCACTACTGTCCTTTGACACTAGAGTCCTTTAATGTGCTAGTCAACAGGGGACTAAAGGGGGTCACCAGTACTAAACTAGTACAGGATTATCTCTCACAGATATCTCTCGTCAGAGGTGACCAATATGTTGCCCATAGCCTCCACATCAAAAGCTTTCTGGTGGAAGCACTTAAAAGAAATGTATTCTACACAATATAGACAGTACACTACAACTATCTATTGGGCCTATTCATAGTTTTCATTCACGTGACTGGCATGGAGACCGGGAAAACTGCAGCACAAGCGTGTCAATTTTCCATCTGTTTCAAGCCCTGAATATTTAGATCACCTCTCAAACGAAGAAAAACAAATATATGTGATCAGACTTCATATTTTGGGCATGTGCAATCCATATACAGCACCTGCCAGTATTTCAATCACTAAAAACAGCAGGATATCCTAAAACTATTACCATGAAAAACACTTAACGATGTGATTTTTAAAAATATCAAATTCAGTGTACACCTTACTGATGATGTGTACTAAATACAGGCAAGCAGATGACATCTTATTTGCAATTTTGAATCTTTATTTTTTTATCCTTAATTCAAATTCAGGAACTGAACTCCATCAGACATTAAAGACGTGGATGTGCTTGTGTCATGAGTGGACACACACATCAAACAAGCAAAGACACGTGTTCATTTACATTTAGTCATTTTGCAGACGCTTTTATCCAAAGCTACTTACAGTTGGGGAATACATAAAGCGATTCTTCTTAAAGAGGCAAACAGACACAGGAAGTGCTTGTAATACCAAGTTTTAGGCAATGTTCAAATAAGTACAAGCTAGAAAAGGAAAGGAATAAATAAAGAGAAAGACAAAGTTTTTTTTTTTTTTTTATTTAGGATGAAGTCAAGTGGCGTCGAAAGAGATGAGTTTTCAGCTGTCGCTTGAAAATTGTCAGGGATTCAGCATTCCGGATAGGGGTGGGGTTCAGGGTGAAATATAAATTGAGACCTACAGACGCCAGACTACGTCATCCCTCACCATCATTCTCGACACGCTTTCATGATGGAGCATGTAAAGCTGGATGGGTAAAAAAGGAAGAGAGAGAGGTGAGTGTGAAAAAAAGAAACTCACTGTTGGATGTCTAAAGATCAATTAGATGAAAAGTCAATGAAAGTACACTTTTAGCCTCTCAACCAACCGGCCCCAGCTGTGAGATCATATAAATTAAAGGCAACATAAATACCCCATGTCACTAGAGGGGGCCTTTTTTATCCATGAACAACAAGGAAAAAAAAAAAACATGAGAAAAACTTAGACACAGACCGAGAAGAAAAAAATTGAGCGTGAAAGAAAAGGAGTGAACAACAGAATCAAAATCTATTGGATTCTGGTCCGTGACTCAAGACGCTGCAACTAAGTCAACCTGCTCACCGGCATGAGCTTGGCATATTAATGACGCCTGAAGCTATCAGGAAGAAAGCCATTACGCTTATTACATCCAACACATATTCGTCTGAAGACACTAGACATGGAGGGCAATTTCCTTCGTCAGTACGCTCTTTTCCCCAGACCTGCACTGTGTGTGTGATTCAGCAGGTGGAACGCATTACACCCAGTTCTGATGACGTCTCAATTTGACTGCACAGATGTTACAGCCACAGAACAGCAGTTTTTTTCTTTTCAAATCTCTAATTTTATCCACATTGACGTCATTGCTTGAGGAGGTCAACGTAACTAGGCCTGTCAGTGCTATTGTGATTATAGAAGGTTTGGGCAAATTAAGATCGTCTGACATGTAATTTTGAAATGACTGACAGACAAAATGATCTTTAAAGACAGGCCACGTAGTTCATGGGCGACAGGGGAGATTTGTCACGTCACATTCAACTTATTCAATACGTAGAGGGGCTGGAAGTGGGTCAAGAAAGAGACAAACCATTGATAGGAGTGAGCTTCCAGTTGCGGCGGACAGTGGCGTCACTGCGGAGGGAGAAGTTGAGCCTTCCTCCATGCTGGGGCCCATCGCTGTCCCGAGAGGCCAGAACCAGAGCCTGATCCTCCCAGCGAGGTGTGCACAGGTATTTCCAGGAGTAATCGCCCACCAGAACTGGGCTGTTGTCATTTACATCCAGAATGTGCACTGTCACCAGCGTGGAGGCCGACAAAGAGGAATTACCTGAAGGAGAGAAGAGGTGGCAGAACGTATTAATCATTTTCATCTTGAGCTGTACTTAGTGTGCATTTAGTGTATTTCAGTATGTTCAACCCTCTACATTGCGAGTAAATCACTCGCATATGCGACTAAATCTTACTCTGGGCAACTAAATGATGTCTAATATTAGCCAATGGCTAATAAATTCTCAGATTTTACTCCCCCAATTTTTTGTATTTTTTTTTACAGAAACACTGAATGACCAAAAGTACCACCACCAGTCCGAAGTTCAGTTTAAATGACAAATATGCATTCATAAATGGTTTTAATTCTAATGACTAAAGTTCTATCATTAACCCTTTAACGCGTACGATCACACCGGTGTGATCAGGCTGTTTGGAAATGGTTGCTATTCTTACATGGATGGCTCACTCAAAAATGAAGAAATTTTGAAGAATGTTGGTAACCAAAAAGGTTTGGTGACCATTGACTTTCACTGTATGCACAACAAAAGACTGAGACATTTTTCGAAATATCTTCTGTTTCAGATGAAGAAAGTCATTCAGGTTTGGACTGCCATAAGGGTGAGTAAATGATGACAAAATTTCATTTTTCACTATCCTTTTAAGAGTATTAACTACATAGAATCCACACCATATGCCATGCCTCAAAAGCGTTATTATACTGTGCTCAGGAGATAAAGCCATGAATTATTAAAACACTGTTCATAAAAAATATACAACTTCAGCCGTTGTTCAGCGGATTTAAAATGTTGTTAGATTAAGCTGCTGCTTGCACTGTTTCTTCGCTCTCTTCACTGCAGGAGATGTTTTAAAACAGACATTAACCTGATGCTAAATACTGGTCAAGAGCTGTATCAAAGGCTGTGCAGATTGAGATTAGTGCTACAAAGCTCAATGGAATCAGTCTGCATTTAACCAGCTACAGCATTATAAAACAATAAAAACTGATTTGAAAAGGAATATCCAACTTTACATATTTATCTTGCAAATAACAACTCTACACCTACAAGCGAGCCCCCAGAAAACAGATAAATAAAACTGCAACTAATTTCAGGGGGAATTTAATTTCGTGTGTTTGCATTTTAAGCCTGTCCTGCAAAAACATGCATATTTTCATACTTTTATGTATTAACATATTTTGTTATGACACCTATATAGCAAAGACATTAATATATTGACCTGAATTTTTGTCTCTTAACTATATAGAATTGCTTAGTTAACTTAAAACTGTATTTTTGTTAACATTTTTTTAAATAGACTTTCACGCAATTTCACTCAAAATAGTTTGAGATTAAACAATAATTGGCAGACCACCTGTGGTACCGCCAAGTACATCCTAGGGCTCATGGACCCCCTTTTGAAGACCCCTTCACTAATAAACGACTCATAAACATTTGGCGGTGCTTTTAAAGATGTATGAATTAAATGATATGTTTGGGTTTCAATCAAGATGAAGCTTCTTCTTGACAGGTAAGCTAAATTTAAGATTTGGCGCATGTTAGCTGTTTACTATCAATCCCCAGATGAAATAATATTGTAAGCATAAGAATAATCCTTACTTTATTTTTAATTACACTAGGTGACATGAGTAGTGCAGAAACTGCATTCTTCACCTTTAACTATAGTTTACGACAATACTCAATCAAACATCACACTGAAGGAATTGTGTTGATATATATATATTATATATATAATATTCATACTTAAAAATATCTGTAAAGCATTTGACATAATTTCCTTTTTACAGCTTTCCAACGCTTACTGTCTATTTTTATGCATCTCTTTCTGCAGTCCAGAGTAAAATACAATGAAGCTCTCAGATACCGAGGTGTGTATTATTTTTGTCTATCATCTATGGTTTCTTTATTTCTCCCTGCTCTTATACCCTCCCTCTCATTTTGACCCTGCTTCAACACTCAAGAGTCAAGACCACGCAAGAGTCATATCGTTGGTTCTCATCTCATCTCTCTCCTTTTTTCTCCTCTGTAAACATTTGTGACTGAGCATTCAGGACTGGACTGATTTCTCATCTGAGCACACTGATGGGAGCAGAAGGTAATTGGAGGGTGAACTGTATGACCTTCGCACCTCAAATCTTTGATCTGCACCCTACGTTCAGGTGCGGAGGAATGATGTGGTATTCTATACCACACACACATCGTTCACACACCACAACATCTCAGCTGGTGACTCATTCACTGCTAGTTACAATGTCTGAGATTTCTCTCACGGCGTGTGGATGTGGCCCAGAATTTTTAAATGAGATTTGATCCTGAATAGAGCCTGTCACAGCGTTTTGAAATGTCAAGTGTCTCGGCAGCACTGATGATTTTGAAAGAGAGAAAGCCGAGAGATGTTGATTTTCCCCAGATGTCTCGCATTGATAGCATCTTCTTCTTGTACTTGCTCTGTATAATGACTTCAGTTTGACGGACATGCTTATTCAAACAAACAACATGAATTGACAGCCCTCCACAGTGAATGCACAGCAAGAGGAGGGAGTAAAATATCTCTTACGCCCATCTTCAGCCACCACTTCCATGGTGTAGGTGCTGTTCTCCTCTCTGTCCAAAGCCTGGACCGTCTTGAGCTCTCCTGAGTACTTCCCAATAGAGAAATATTTCTTAGTGTCTCCTCTCAGCGAATACCTGAAGAAAGAACAGTGAGAGTTTGAATGATCATTCTCTTTCCTAATCAAGCAATTATAACATTATGGATTATAATACAACAACAAAACAAGATGAATTTGCTCATATACAAAGAGAATAATAGGTTTTCAGCATGATTTTTGAAGGATTGGATTAATGGCTGCTGAAAATTCAGCTTTGCCATCACAGGAATATATTACATTTTAAAATATATTACAAAAGAAACCAGTTATTTTAAATTGTAATAATATTTTACAATATTACTGTTTTTAATGCATTTTAGATCAAGATTCAGATTCTTTTCCACCTTCCAATGGAAAATGTATGATTGAAATCTATATGAACAAGTAACTATTCTTGAAGCAGTCCTCTCAAATCACACCAGATGCCTGCCATTTTATGCACTACTTCCCCTGCTGTTTAGCCAAGGAACCAGAATCAGTCATGTCAGGTACATGAAATGATGTGGCAACATCTGAACGGCAGGATAACACCTGCTTGTACACTGTGTAAAATCCACAACCTGAACAGACCACAGTAATTGACAATGACAGTGCTTCTGCATGTTTATATTTTGGTGTACACTTCTAGATTAAGAGTCTCTTAAGAGTTTTAGTTTTGAAGCAAATAGTGAATTTCCTCTGTGTGGTTTAGATTTTGAGGATGTGCTATTTGTGTCAATTGAGATTTAATAATCTGGGGTATCTCTTGTAGTTTACGAATGTAAGGGACAGCTGGAAAATGTTGCAGGGCGGGAATCGATGTATAGATCCAATTGGTATTGTGATAGGTATTTGTACTATTTTAAATGAGTGAAAAATCACCTTACCTGATTGGATGAGAGTCAGGGTCATAACCTCTGATTGTGGCAATAACACGTCCTGGCTCCTCCCCTTCTCTGACAGTGACTTCATAATGGCTCTGAGACAAAACGGGCCCTTCATTGATGTCATCGATAAAAATGGCGACAGTTGCTGTGGATGCCGGTCCATATCTGCCTCGGACCAGAGCAACTGGGTTCTGAGCACTCAGCACCAGTATGTACTCATTCTCCCGCTCAAAGTCCAGCACCTGCACACAAATGAACACACTGTTAGTACAGTATGTTTATTTTTGATGCATGGAGGATGGCTTCAAGAGAAAATAAAGCCACTCGGTAATTATGAACATTGAAAAAGGACAAAAAGGCAGTGCTCTGATTTTCTCTTCATAATCTGTACCAGCACACTGTAAACCAGGACAAAATCGCACAATCTGAGAGTGTCTCACTAGTCATCACAATGTGTCAACCTGCATTTCTGAAGGTAAAATGTGTTCAATTCAGATTCTGAATGACCCATTGTATGCTCTGATGTCATTCATCAAACTGAAGGTCAGATATTTCTGTGGATGCGCACAACCTGTCAAAAAATCAACAAAAATCATCTTGACTATAATTGTTAACAAATGATGATGTCACCGATGGTGCAAATGTTGACTCTGTATTTATGTTCCCAGAAAGGAGAAAATTAGAAAAACAGAGACTGGGAGATAAAGACTAATGCTACTGACTGGAAGTGAACAGCATTACCATTTTTTCCCACTAGTAATATTACATCCAAACTTCTCTTAATTTAATTCATTATGTCACTTAATTCACTTTTACTTTAAAGAGCAGCCAGCATTCTGACCAGACCCTGATGTTCTGCCATTCTTTGCCCTTATTCCAGATGCTATCTCAGTCAACCACAACAACAGTGTCCTGTACAACTAGGATCTACAAATCAAATGGTGACCAGAAACCTGGTATTAGTGTTTGATGACCAGTTAAGACTTAATTGGCCACTTCTCCACTTCTTCTCCAGGGAAAACGAGACCCTAATTGTCATGTTACTTTGACCTCTTTTTTTCTTATTCAGTTTAAGAAGCTCTCTTTTTACAACAATGAATTTCTAATAATGTTACAGAAAGCTCTATCCTTTTGCTCCACTCAGAACACATGAGTGTGTTCAGCACACTTGCCACCATGGACAAGAAATGAGCTGTTCTCAAATCCTCAGCCAATCCATGCATAAAAAGAACACAACAAATGGTTCATACTAGCTCCTGACAACTGTAAAAACATTGCTCTAACAGGCTTCAAGGCAACAGCAAATTCCATTTATTACTGTTGTTTACCTAAAAACAGTTCTTCTACTTTGAAACACAAAATATATGTGGTCTCCAGCGTCGATCGCCCATGCTGCAAACATGACATATTGTAATTAGCGCTTGCTAATTAAGAATACAATACATCTACTTAATTACCGGGCGACAGAACAAAAACAGAGAGAGTTGTGCAGAGTAAACGAGAACACAGATGAACACAAAGTAAAACAAATGGCTCAGTTCCTTGACACATATGTAAATATAAGGATTCAGAAACCCTCTGTTGAAATGTCATCAACTCCCAGCTTATAATCTGACGAAACATGAATAAAAGATGTCAGGAATGGATCAAACTTGTTGTATATCACATAAGGGGTGGACAGAGTCCAAGATCAAGGGAACCAGTGACACTAATCAGTGGAACAACTGCATCACCTGAAGGGAATGTGGGTCGCGGTGTGGATCAGGTCTTGAGCCCTGGATGAATGGCCTGCTAAATAATGAATTAACTGTTTGTTTTCATACAATGACCTCAAGACGTGTTTAAAAACCTAAGCCCCACTTAATATGTATACATTTAACTGTGTTTGATCAAACCAAGTGGCATTTGAAAACAAATGATACTAGACATTTTCTGGTAATTTATTTACATGAGCCATTTTTTTTAACCAACTGGGTTATTTTTACGACATTTTTAGTTCACACCGGTGTCAGTTTTTGAACAGTATATAAACTCTTTTTATGAAATATTTAGTTTGAAAAGTAGTGTTTGAACTCTTGAGGGCTGAGTGGTGAACAACCTAACACTTAAACCAACACTTAACACTTAAACTTTAAAATGTACTTAACGTTACCTATAAAAATACCAGCCAGTATAAATGAAACTGTTCAATGAAGGTAAACACAGAGATAATTATAGTAACATTTTGACGATTTGACGATGAGTATCTGCAGTGTCAGTCCCATTCTGTAAGCACTTCACAAAACTGCATGTGGCTCACTTGGATGTGTTTAGAAGTTTCCAACAGAACATCAATTTCAGATCACAGATTAAAAGTTGTATAAACAAAGAACAATCACATTATGTCAGGGTGATCATTCAAGATTTTTTTCCTAATTCGGTGAAAAAGAACAGACCACTGAGAGTTCTTTTTTTAAATCCTCAGCTTTTCCCAACCCCTTTATTGAAAAGTATGCTTGTGCTTTAAATGCGCATTCTTTAAAACAAGTGCAACTTGGATTGATGTTTGTCTGTATGACTGGCAGTAGTATGCAGGCAGAGACGATACCTTATCAAGGATGAGGGCAGCTTCATTGGTCTGTCTGTCAGTCACTAGAGTGAAAACCTCTTCCTCATTCCCAGATTCAAGTCTGTAGTCCACCTGCCAGTTGTCCCCACCCCACTCATCCGCATCCCATGCCGACACTACAGTGACTGTGGTGCCCACTGAGGAGTCCTCAGCCAGGTGGAAGGGTCCATACTAGAGAGACAGAAATGAATGAAAGATTTTGGTAACACTTTATTTTAAGAACCAATCCTCACTATTGACTTGCTTGTTAACATCCATATTACTAGCATATTGGCTGTTTATTAGTACTTTTAAAGCACATATTGATGCCTTATTCTGCATGACCATATTTTAGATCCCTTCCTACCCAGTACCTAAACATAACAACTACTATGCTAACTATTAATAAGCAACAAATTAGGAGTTTTTTTTGAGGGAAAACTCTTAGTTAATAGTGAATGTGTGTTCCCTAATTTAAAGTGTTACCAAGATTTCTAAGATACTACATGTAATTATGATAAAAATGGAGAATAAAGAAATCATTAAAAAGTGCGTGATTAGAAAATAGAATATTTGTGACAACGTTATGGTCAGATCCTTTAAATTATATTTAGGTTTCTAAGGCAAAACAAAATGAACAAATGTCTGCATAAAATGTGTAATTTTTGAGTGTTCTCCAGTTTAGGGAACCAGAACATGTAATGTAATGAAATATTAGCAATAGACACAAAATTGTGGGGTCAGTAAGATTTTTTTTTTTTTTTAATAAATGAATACATTTATTTAGCAATAAAAACAAATAATTAAATAAATCTGTCATCATTTACTCACTCTCAAGTTGTTCCAACATTCTTCAAAATATCTTCTTTCAACAAATGAAATAAATTCATTCAGATTTGGAACAAATCTGGAGTAAATGATGACAGAATTTTCATTTTTGGGTGAACAATCCGTTTACATCGATCAAAAGTAACAGAAAAGACATCTATATAGTTATCAAAAAAAAACTGTTTAAAAAAATCTGTTCTTTTATACTTTCTGTTCTGAATCCTGAAAAAGATGCATCACGGTTTCCACAAAAATATTAAGCAGCACAGCTGTTTTCAACTGTAATAATAATACAAAATGTTGTGGGCCCCCAATAGTGCTGGGCCCCCTTTACTCAGTCCCACTTTTTCCCTGAATAGCAGTGGAGAATGATGCTTTCTGAATTCTACCAGCAGGAGCTAACAACACCTAACTAGACAACCTTGGCCACTTGGTATAGTGTTGCTGACACTGAGAACTTTATAGTCTTAAAAGAGCTGTATTCTGATGCTAGTTACTCTTTCACTGGTCTGGCCATCCAAGGACTGTCAATACACCTCCAGCACTTCCCAAATAAACTCCTGACATACAGACATCACTTTCTAAAAATAATATTACTTTAAGAGAGAGTCAAATATAAAAAAAGAAAACAAAAAATAAGGTAAGTGTCTCACAGGAGAGTAGAAAATGTGTGTTTGTGTGTACTGTATTTCTGCAAACAGTGCTGTTCATTAATCTAAGTACAGCACCATCATTCCTCTAAGAAGTTTTGGCTGCATCATAGTGCCTACAATTCATTGTCAACTAAATTAGGGGATACATAATGAAAACGAAAGGCACAAAGCCAGTGAGGAGAGCTTTATGGATGTTTCCAGAATGCAGAACAGGGCATGTCTTCCTCTTCTTTCAAAGCGGATCTAAATATACCTGCTGAATTCATGCCAGCGCTGCTTTTTTACCCCTCCACTGCTGCTGCCCTCCATCTTCACACCAGCACTCTGTCTGCACCCATGTACATCTCCTGTATTATTCACAACACATAGGCGTAAACACACAGGGTATTTTCCAGAAATCAGGGACCACTGCCTGCCTCCATCCTGCATCTGTTCTCCATCTCTCCTTTTGCTCATCTCTTCCCGTCACTGTAGTCAGTGAGCATCTCCTGTTTATTATTCAACTTGGCTGCATCAGTGAACAAAGATGATGACATAAGAAAGGCACTCAAGGCTGTTCTGCATATGCGCTCATGTACCATAAATAGATAGCGCTACAAATTAGTAAGTGGTCATATTTAAAACATCACCTCAGGATAAGATTTTTTTTCCAAAAATAGGAGAATCAGATATGTTCTGCAAACTTTTGATCTTATGCTCCACATTAACATCACAGCAGTCTATATTTCATTTGTTTACTCAATGCAATTACTGATATTAACATTCTGGCCAATACAGATAAAGTGAAAAATTATGTTATTGTTCTGATTGATAATTAACAATTATTTTTATCATTTATACTTATAACTTTTCTATAAATTAAAACTGATATTAAAGGGCACCTATTATGCCCCTTTTTACAAGATGTAATATATCGGTCTTGGGTGTCCCCAGAATGTGTCTGTGAAGTTTCAGCCCAAAATACCCAACAGATCATTTATTATAACAGCTGGAAAATGACTTTTTGGGGTGTGTCTAAAAAAAGAGCCGTTTTGGAGTGTATCGCTTTAAATGCAAATGAGCTGCATATTCCCTCCCCGTCTCCAGAAGAGGGCGTCAGGTATACGTCTCTCTGCACTGCATATCTACAGCAGTAAACAACAGCTGGTAGAAGCAACATAACTGAGAGCGAGAGAACCGTTGTTTAGCCGTACATATGGGAAGCCAAATGCACTGAAAGTGGGACGAAACAGCGCAATGTTACAGAGCTCGCGCCGTGCTGACCTGTCATCACGCTACCGAACAAATCTCGCACTACAAACGGCGCGAACTAATCTCACAAGTGCAGCGCTGATCAGTTAAAAAAAAAACTTAATGTACGCACACAAATACGGTTAAAACGCTAAGCACTATAACGACATGACATTCACAAAGGAGTCTGGAGTGATACACATATTTAGGTAGATGTTGAGGCGCATTACCTTGAAAAATGAAAGTAATCCACAGCATCCTCAGCAGCTCAGATGTTGGGAGAAAATGAAGACTCTTACGTTCAGTCTTACAAACAAACACATAACATCGGGATTGCTTGCGAGACATTGTTGACGTTACAGCTGCTTGAGCGCAGTGTTGCCAGTTTGGATGGACGATTTCCAGCCCAAAAGCTCACAAAAACCCACCCAAAACTTTAACTGGCAAAACAATGTGATGGAATATGTAAATCAAGGTTGATAAGGGCCATTTTTAACTCCTTAAACCAAAATAATGATGACAAAATAATATATCGGTGATTCTTAGACTATGGGCACTTTTATGTTCTTTGGTCATATTTATAAAAATACATATAATTTTGGACAACTTCCTCTTTCTTAGTCAAACTAACAATAATACCACCTTAAAAACTTTTTACTATCTTTCTATTATGATGTTTTCATACTTTTCAACCTCCTTATAGGTGTCAAAATCACTGTTTTCTCCTTGTCGCACACCCAGACTTTTAAACTTCAACAATGAAAATACAGTTTAAAAATATGACTTATCTGGTAACTATTAATGTACCTGAATTAAGCACTAGTAAAATAATTAAAATACATAATAGTATTTAATGTGAGACCAGATGGTGTCGTTCTCATCACACATTAAAAATGTATCCAAAATGTATGAGATCATGCTCTACTTAATATAAAAATTAAATGTATTTATTTTCTAATAAGCTCTTACCCAAACCAATATTACATTTCATAGAAGAATTAGGCTACCGAACATAAATAAAATATGCAAGCAGACACTGTCAAAACAGCAATCAAGAAATGCATAATTTTCAATGTCAGCAGTCAGAATAATCCAATTTAAAGGGGTAATATGATGCAATTTAAATTTTTCCTTTCTTTTTGGAGTGTTACAAGCTCTTGGTGCATAAAGAAGATCTGTACACATATGGTAGCCGCAAGCCCACCAGCAGCGCCGTTCTCAAGCCTGCCGGCCTCCGCTCACTCTAGCTGCCGGCCTCCGCTCACTGAAGCCCGCTGTGTGTTTCGTTGTGAAAGCGAAACTACTTTGTTTGGCCTTCCAAAAGAGGACACGACTAGAAATC